TCAATGTGGACCGAATTTTCTAGTACCTGAGGAGGGATGTGTTCTTCCACTGTCTGTCCCACATCATTGATGGTTGGGCTCCAGATGCCAACCTTCTCCAGTCTGTTGTGCTACCTGGAGAAACTGTGACTTACCTGGCTGTGTTCTGTAGTCAGAAAGCTACAAAGACGGCATCCGAGATCAGATTCTGATTACCTGAACCACTACTGTAGTTTCAAAACAACAGACTTCTGGAAAGTAACCCTGTGATTCTTTTTTAAATTTATCGATTGATTTTTTGGCTGCGTTGGGTCTATATTTGTGGTGTGCGGGCTTCTCATTGCGGTGGCTTCTCTTGTTGAGAAGCACGGGTTCTAGGTGTGTGGGTTCAGTAGTCGTGGTGCGTGGGCTCTGTAGTTGTGGCTCGTGGGCTTAGTTGCTCCATGGCATGTGGGATCTTCCCAGACCAGGGATCGATCCCGTGTCCCCTGCATTGGCAGGCGGATTCTTAACCACTGCGCCACCAGGGAAGTTCCTACCCTGTGATTTTTATTAAGGCTGAAAAGGATGTTTGCCAAGAGATTCAATCTGATCAAGAGGATGTTAAACTGAATATTAAGGGAGAGAGAGAGAAAAGAATTACTTATTAAAATAGTTAACTAATATTAATAGCTACTATTATCCAGCGCTAGGTTCTGTCCGAACTGATTTACATGCATTAACTGTTTAAACCTTGCAGTAACCACATGAGTTGGGGATTCTTATTATGCCCATTTTAAAGATGGAGAAAACCAAGCCATTTGAGTAACTTGTCCAAGGTCAAGTCAGATGCTAGTTGGGATTCAAATTGGGGCAGTCTAGGGTCTGTGCTTGTAACCTTTGTACTAGTCTGCCTTTCAAAACTGCAAAGCTTAATGCTCTGAAAAAAACATTGTATGAGAGAGACAAAAAAATTAATATTTCTTAGAGAGAGATAAATACTGTATGATTTCACTTATATGTGTAACCTTAAAAAAAAAAACAAAAAAAACTTGTAGTAGCAAAGAGTAGAATGGTGGTCACCAGGGGTTGGGGGATGGGGGAAATGAGTAGATGTTGGGCAAAGCGTACGAAGTGGCAGTTGAAAGTTCTGGGGATCTAATGCACAGTACTGTGTTCATAGCTAATAAGACTGTATTATATACTTGAAGGCTTCTAGGAGAGTAATCTTAAACATTTTCACTACAGAAAGGAAATGGTAATCATGTGACATGATGAAGGTGTTAGCTGAGGCTGTGGTGGTAATTATAGTGGGGTGTGTAAGTGTATCAATTCAATAGATTGTGCACCTTAAAGTTGCACAATGTTATATGTCAATTAGCTCAGTAAAGCTTGGGAAAAACATTGTAACTATAGTTGTGCAGCAAGGAAACATTGATCATTAAAAATCTTTCAAAATCATCATTAATATGTTTTAAAAATTGATCTATTCAGCTGATGATTTAGAAAAGGCTATGTGATAGCTTTGAAATAGTAAGTTACTAGGCTATGACGTATGAACTTTCATTGCTTTCATCTTTTCTAGATGCTTTAGGCAGAGGCCTATACCTATACAAGAAGGGACATACAATATGCTTTCAGGCTGGTATTTCTGTTAATAGTGTTTACAGTCACTTTTTAGTAATGTAGAAGGCAAATGTGATCGACAGGGAAAGTACAAACAGTACCAGAGGATACTTTAAATAAGAAAAAAAGTATATACCTAGAAACAGTTAATGGAGTAAAATCGATTTGCAGTCATAATGCCTGGATGCTTCCATGTAAAGCGTATTTTCAGGGGCAGTTTTACCAAGTATAATATATTAATTATTATTCAGAAAATATTCACTCTACCCATCTCCACTCTCCGTCCATTGACTTTCTCACTCCATTGACATCGGACTTGGTCAAAAGTCTTCCCCTGGTTGATTCAATAGGGCGAAAGTGATAGCCCCCCAGTTCCAAGTACAAGTTAAGAGATGTTATGCTTACCGTTTTTCCCCTTGGGCTCCTACCACCTGCCGCGCTCTAGGTAATCACCGATCATTTAACCTGAGCTCTGGGATGAGAAGATACGGGAGGCACGCTTGATCCCAACCTTCAGCCTGGAGCCACGTCCAGATAAGTTAGCCAAGTGTATCTGAACCAGAACTGACCTGTGGACCTGAGAGTGAGAAATGAGTGTTCGTTATTGTAAGCCACTGCAACCTGGGGGTTGTTTGTGACGCAGCATCATCACAGCAAAACCTGATGAATGCATTTCCCCAAATTTAGTAGTATCTTTTCTATTTTTATTAAAAGAAAAAAACAAACAGAAAAACAGAGGACTGTGGGAAACGGTCAGCTTTGAGAGCAAGCTGCAGACATGCCAGGCACGCCGCCGCCGCTCGAAGGGACTGTGCCTACTTGTTCCCCTCCTTGTTCCATTCCATGGGAGATAAACCACCAGGGCCCAGAGATCAGAAAGAATGTAAACTAAGACAAGCAAATCTGTCTCCCCCCGGCACGGCACGTGCAGGTTATTTTTGATGATTCTGGGCTTATGGGTTTTCTCCCAGGGAAGTTAACCTTGAGACGAGACAGTCTGTACATAATGTAAACCATCATCTGGCAACCAACCTCCCTTTTTCTAGTCTAGATAATCTGCAACTGTAGCGCAATAAAAGTTGCCTTGCAGCCGTCAGTTGTCTTGGCCCTTCTGACCCCATTCATCGGTGCTACTTCAGTTCCTTACTCCTTCCCTCCTGACCCTGGGCGGTGAAATCCTCTTTCTCTGGCTGGTCCGCGGCAGAGGACTTGTTCCAGTTGCTACTTCTTCCTTAAACTTATTTTCACACATGACCTATAAAATATTAGTCAGTCTTCTCCATGCTGGATACCATCTGTTTGCCCCTCCGAATGCACTCTCCATTGTCTCCCACCAGGCTCTACGCTTTAAGGGGCTTAACGTCACGTTTGGCCAATGCGGAGCATTGACAGAAGAGCAGAAGGAGAAACAGAGTGTGGGAGTGGGGATATTTAATTCCCGAACCTTCTCCCTGCTGGGTCGCAGCAAACTGGCTGCTTCCAGTGGTCAAAGAACATAGCCTCAGCCAGGCAGCCCTCTCTCTGCATTTCAGTCACAGCTCACTCCCTTTGTCTCCACGGGGGCCTTGGGGTGGGTGGTTAAATCCTGGTCACTAGCCCCAAGGTACTGCACTGTCCCTTGTGGTTTCCTCATGCCCTGCCCTCACCTCCACGAAGAACCCCTTCTTAAACTTCCTTCAAAGTGCTCAGTTTGAACGTGACATCTGTTTCCTGCTGTGATCTTGACAATACAACTTCCTTGGTTAAATTTTATAAAAAGGATTGAAGTGGCGGAAGTTCAATTTAATCTGGTGTTCTGACTGACACACTTTATATCAAAAAGAAAACTGAAGCCCACCTATGTGGAAAATGTGCACGGCTCCCAGCCTTATTTTATTTTCCCCTGGAGACTCATTTTGCACCTGGTCAGGTGCATGAGACCTTTTTCAGGGCCCCCTTTTCTGTCAGGCACCTTGATATTACTTCCAGCTCCAAAAGTTTATGCTAATTCACTCAAGAAACTCTCAAAGCTTTTCCCTGTAATTTCCTCCATAATCGCTAGACTAACTTAGCTTTCAAATTTCTTCCCAGGATTCATAAATGAGAAAGACAAGTGAAACTAGAGTGGGGGAGGTAGAAGAATAGTTCTTCTCTTAATTCTCTAAACTTTCGTTGTCATGACCCTCTTTTTTTTTTTTTTTTTCCAGTAATAGGCAATACTATTTGCCTAGGCTGCTGAGCAGCTGTGAGACCTTAGGCAACATAGTTGTCCTTTCTATACCCCAGTTTCCTCAGGACTAACATGTCAAAATCCGTACTAGGATAGCTACTTTCAGGTTTATTGTGAGAATTTAATACAACATATGTAGAAGTGATGAACCTGTATAGGGACCCAACAAATGCCCATTTATTCTTTCTTCCAACTGCATACTTTAAAATAATGCATTTCATGTACTTTTAAAGTTCATTCAGTCCTTCTGCAACTGCTTTTCAGAAAGTCTGGGCACTTGGAGGACTTCCTTTTCCCCCTCCCTTACTTAATATATAGTTTTTAATTGTGGAAAAATATACATAACATAAAATTTACCCTCATAAACATTTTAAAGTATATGGGTTCAGTATTGTAAAGTATATTCACATTGTTGTGCAACCAATCTCCAGAACTTTTCCATCTTGCAGTTTTGAAACTCTATACCAATTAAACAACAATTGCCCATATCCCTCTTCCCCAGCTCCTGGCAACCATGACTCCACTTTTTTTTTCCTCCCCCAAACTAGAGTCTTTTTTTAAAAATACTGAATGGTAGTTGATTTACAATGCGGTGTTAGTACAGCGCAGTGTTTCAGTTATACATATATATAACTGAATATATGTATACACACACACACACACACACACACACACACACACACACACTTTTTCAGATTCTTTTCCCTTACAGGTTATAACAAAATATTGAGTATAGTCCCCTTTCTATACAGTAGGTCTTTGCTGGTTATCTATTTTATATATAGTCGTGTGTATCTGTTAATCTCAAACTCCTAATTTATCCCTACCCCCTCCTCTACCCTTCAGTAACTATAAGTTTGTTTTTTATGTCTGTGGGTCTACTTCTCTTTTGTAAACAAGTTCATTTGTATCTTTTTTTTTTTTTTAGAATACACATAGGAGTGATATCATATAATATTTGCATTCTACTTTCTGTTTCTATAAATTTGACTATTCTAGATGCCTCAGGTAAGTGAAATCACAGAGTGTTAGTCTTTTTGTGACCAGCGTACTTCACTTATCATAATGTCCTCAAGGTTCATCCATGTTGTAGCATATGTCAGAATTTCCTTTGGTGGACTTCTTTTTTTTTTTTTTTAATTTTTTGGCCGCATTGCACGGCATGTGGGATTTTAGTTCCCCCACCAGGGATTGAACCCGCGCCCCCTGCATTGGAAGTGCTGACTCTTAGCCACTTGACTACCAGAGATTGGTGGGCTTCCTTTTAAAAATGAATTTTCTAAGATATACTTACCAAAGTTCCTATGTATCATTTAATATTACGTTTCTCCATGTGTTCAAAGTGCCCCCAATGCTGCATTATGGTGAAACTGCAGAAAGTGTAATATGTCCTTAGAAAGCATCCTTTAGTTACTAATATACTCCTTATGAATATGGTAAGTGTCCACATGGGGATATGTATTATCCTGAATCAGCCAGCATTCACTTCCACAGCCTCTTCTTTGTCAGCACTCTTGCTTAGAATTGTTTTAAGAAGTTTAACGAACAGAAAGGATTGCTGTAAAAAAGCATATTTCAAACATTAACTATATAGACCCTCCATTGATTCTGGAATTCCTGAGCAATTTTAATTTAAAACGCTCATTTTCCGCACTCGTGCCTCCAGTGACTAGATTCCTTTCCAGGCTCCACTTCAAGCCTGGATTACTGTGTTCTTTCTCCCTGTTTGGAAAGTTCAGCTTCCCAGAGTTCCTGGATCTCTTCCGAATGTAAAGATTTGGGTCTCTTCCAAGACCTTCACTGAATGCAGATGCGCCGCTAACTTCTCCAGAGCCCGCCCCTGGGAAACAGGCACAAGGCAGTCTTGGTGGTGAGTAGAAAATACTCTCTCGGAGTCAACCTAGAGCAACTGTTATTCACTCTTTGTAGCTGTGGGAACAATTTCTGTTCTCTCTCTGCTTCATGAGGAAGTGGAGGTGCAGTGTGCAGAAGGAGGGTGACCCAGCTGTGGAGAATGCCCCCAATAGGGTCAACGTTGCCCCTTCCCCAGTTTTATTGAGATATAGTTGACATATATCATTGTATTACCTTAGGGTTTGAACACGATGATTTGAAATATCTGTACATTGTGAAATGATTACCACAGTCAATTCAGCTAACGTCCATCGCCTCACATAATCACAACTTCTTTCCCTTGGGATGAGAACCTTTAAGATTCATTTCCTTAGCAACTTTCAAATATACAAGAGTATTGTTAAGTACAGTCACCATGCTGTACACCACATCCCCAGAACTTATTTTTCTTCTAACTGGAACTTTGTACCTTTTGACCCCCTCCACGCCCACCTCACGCCTCTAAGCACCAATCTGTCATCTGTTTCCATGAGTTGGATTTTTTAAGATTCTCCATATCAGTGAGATTGTACAGTATTTGCCTTTCTCTGTCTGACTGATTTCCCTTAGCCGAATGCCCTTAAGGTTCACTCATGTTGTCACAAATGGCAGAGAAAAAAATCGATGTCACACACACACACACACACACACACACACACACACACAGAATCTCACATTTTGTTTATTCTTTCATATGTTGATGAACACTTAGTTGTTTCCATGTCTTGGCTATTGTGAGTTATGCTGCAGTGAACCTGGGGTGCTTGTATCTCTTGGAGATAGTGATTTTGTTTCCTTTAGACATACACCCAGAAGTGGGATTGCTGGGTCATATGGCAGTTCTATTTTTAACTTGTTCAGAAACCTACATGCTGTTTTTCATAGTGGCTGCACCAATTTCTATTCCCACCCACAGTGCACAAGCTCCCTTTTTCTCCACACCCGCACCAACACTTGGTATCTCTTATCTTTTTGATGACAGCCGTTCTAACAGCTGTGAGGCCATATCTCATTATGGTTTTTTATAATTTTTTTTTTTTCCTGTTACGCGGGCCTCTCACTGCCGTGGCCTCTCCCGTTGCGGAGCACAGGCTCCGGATGCGCAGGCTCAGCGGCCATGGCTCACGGGCCCAGCCGCTCCGGGGCGTGTGAGATCCTCCCAGACCGGGGCACGAACCCGCGTCCCCTGCATCGGCAGGTGGACTCTCAACCACTGCGCCACCAGGGAAGCCCTCATTATGGTTTTGATTTTTGTTTTCCTGATTACTAGTGATGTTCAGCATTTTCTCATGTACCTGTTGGCCATTTGTATATCTTCGTTGGAAAAAAGTCTATTCAGTTTTTTAATCAGATTGTTGTTTTTGTGTGTTATGGAGTTTTATGAGTTCCTTATATATATACTTGGATATTAACCCCTTATTAGAAATATGATTTGCAAATATTGTCTCCCTTTTCATTTTGTTGATGGTTCCCTTTGCTGTGCAGAAGGTTTTTCGTTTGGTGTGGTCCCACTTCTTTTTTGTTTTTGTTGCCTTTGCTTTTGGTGTCATATCCAAAAATCACCACCAAAACACATGTCAGGAAGTTTACTCCCATGTTTTCTTCTAGGAGTTTGTGGTTTCAGGTCTTACATTGAAGTCTTTAATCCATTTTGAATTTGGGGCGGAAGGATGATCTAGCTGTGGAGAATTTTCCAAGTGTATGTCTCTTATACTTTATGTCTCTTAAACTTTCCTAAGTTTCCCAGTTTTAAAAGTTAATTTATTTTATTTTATTTATTATTATTTTTTTTTAAAAAATTAATTGATTAATTTATTTTTTGGCTGTGTTGGGTCTTCGTTTCTGTGCGAGGGCTTTCTCTAGTTGCGGCAAGCGGGGGCCACTCTTCATCGCGGTGCGCGGGCCTCTCACTATCGCGGACTCGCTTGTTGCGGAGCACAGGCTCCGGACGCGCAGGCTCAGCGGCCATGGCTCACGGGCCTAGTTGCTCCGTGGCATGTGGGATCTTCCCAGACCAGGGCTCGAACCCGTATCTCCTGCATTGGCAGGCAGATTCTCAACCGCTGCGCCACCAGGGAAGCCCCAAAAGTTAATTTATTTTTAAAAACTTTTTTTAAATGAATGACCTTCATCCCTGGCCCTCTTCCATAGCCCCACTTTTCGTTTTCTTTTAGACTTGCCACGAAAGGTATTTTCCTCATCCAGAATGATTTACCCAAGTCCCTCTCTACCATTCCATAGGTTTCCTGTCCTTTAAATTCATCTAAAACTCACCTACTTCAGAGATCTTTCCCTGATTAAAAGGCACTGCTCTCTGTAGAAATCTGTTTACAAGGAAGTGCATTGTAATTTATATAAGAGAACGATTCCTGAAATGCTTGCAAATTACTTTCTTTATAGATGCAGTATTTTTTTTTTTTTTTTTTTTTTTTTTTTTTTT